GCCATTGACTGAGTCAAGTAGTAAATTGTTTACTTTTAACACACCATTTAGTAGATATTCATTTAATCGTTAACCATTTGGATTATGTAGTGCAAGTGAAGTTGTTCAGAAACATAGTGAACAGATAATTTGGTGATCTTGAGAACGTGTTTGTAATCTCAGATGATATGATAATTGCTACTGATGACAATGAAGCTCTTCATGACTCTGTAATAGTTAAAGTTATGGAACGTGCTAAATATGAAAATGTGAAATTTAATAAGGATAAGATTAAACTTAAAGAACGTGACTAGTATACGCAGGCAACATTATTGGTAAAGATGGCATTAGGCCTGATAATTTCAAAGTGAACGCTATTTATGATATGTCTACACCAACTAATAAGTCTGACTTCCGACGTTTATTGGGAATGATTAATACCTTGGCGCCGTTCATTCCGAACATGTCAACAATTAGTGCTCCAATGAGAGAGTTACTCCAGAAGGAGGTCCTGTGGTCGTGGGAAGCGCGTCATGAAGATTCGCTGAGTCGCCTAAGAAGTTTGTTAAGCTCTAAGCCTGTGCTGAAATACTTTGATCTGCACAAAGATGTTGTGATCCAGTGCGACGCGTCTTCGTTTGGACTCGGGAGTGTTTTAACGCAAGACGGCCACCCCATACGCTAAAGTTCACGATAGCTAACGTCAGCCGAGAAAAATTATTCTCAAATCGTGAAAGAAATGTTATCCATCTGTTTTTCGCTCCAAAAATTCAATCATTAGAATATGTTTACGGACGAAAGGTGACGGTTCAATCCGACCACAAGCCACTCGAGTCGATCACTTGAAAGCCAATTTATAAAGCGAGTCCGAGACTTCAGCAGATGATGCTACGACTGCTGAAATATGACAATGACGTTACGTACGTTCCCGGAAAGGAAATGTATATTGCAGACGCGCTAAGTAGAGCAGTACCAGATAGCGTGGAAGAACCGCAGCATGAGACGTTGCAGTACCGTGTCCATTCAGTGGATGAGCTATTGAGCATGAGCAAACTTAGAATAGAGGAAACCCGAACAAGCCACTGTTGCAGATTATGCTTTATGCGCGATGAAATCTGCGAGCACGACGGACTTTTGTTTATGGGTCACAAATTGATAGTACCCGCTAGCCAACGATAGTTTATGCTTAATCGTATTCATGATGGTCAGTTAGGCATGGAGAAGTCGAAGGCCATGGCGAGAGAGCTGCTGTACTGGCCCGGTATTAGTTCTGACATTGAGTCCCTGATATCAAAATGTTTTGCATGCGCAAAATTTAAAAGGAAGAACCAGCGTGAGCCAATGATTCCGCATGAGTTGTCCAAGGAACCGTTTAATAAGGGTCGGCGCTGATTTTTTCATTATGCTGGTAACGATCACTTAATCGTTGTGGACTATTATTCAAAGTATCCGTTGTTACGCTATGCAACACGACTGCTAAAGATGTGATTTGTAAACTAAAATCGATATTTGCAAGACATGGCATTTCGGAAGAATTCATAAGCGATAACATGCCTTTCGCCAGCTGGGAAATTAAGCAGTTCGCAAAGTCATGGGGCATAGAATTGATAAGCCCCACTTATGCCCAAAGCAATGTTCAAGCAGAGCGATGTATTCAGACTGTTAAGCAATTATTAAGAAAGGCTACAGACGACTTTGACGGCGATTTCCATTTAGCTTTGCTTTCTTATCGCGACGCCCCGTTGGGCGGCATTGGTTTATTACCGGCACAACTTCTGATGAATAGGAGGCTCCGAACGCAAGTTCCAGCAAAATGGTCAAATCTACAGGCGCAATGGCCGAGACCTAAATCAGTCGCACAACGAAACGAAAAAATTTTCAGGAAGACGTTGGTGATGTCCCCGCGACTCAAGCCGAACACGCTCAGCCAGAGCAACAGACGGAGGTTGTGCACACGACACAACCGACACGGAATAGGCGAATGCCTAAACGTTTTGATGATTTTGTTTTGTACAAATAATTAGGGCCGATTTGGTCATAAGTTTCCAGTGTTTTTTCTTGAACATGTTTACTTTTAAAAATATCCATATCAATATTGGATCATAATACTAGATCATAATACATAATGCATGATACAGTATTCCATATTTGGTATTATTATATCCCATGATGCATTGCATGGTGAATAAAGTTTAGTTTCCATCTTGATCTTCAACCTGGTCTCTTGTGTGTTATTTATATGTGCAATCAATAGTTGCATATCTCGATTCATTAGTGTCATTTTTATCCATCTAAAACTGGGACGTCAGCAATTTAAATGACCCTAAAATTTACACCCTCACCTGGATCGTCCCCTACACATAATAATATCTTCCTTATAACTTATTACTGGACCTTTACAAACTATTATAAAGTTGCAGTCTGGCATCTCAAAAATTTAAATGACCCTCAAATTTACACCCTTGACTGAATCGTCGCCAACACATAATACTATTTTCCTTGTAATTTGCTTAAAATTTTTCCTAATTTTTCATTCAGACCAATTGATCCGTTTTCGAAATATGTGGTCTGAGACGTTTTCCTTTCAATGGTCCTCAGATCTACACCCTACTCCGAATCGTCACAAAATTTTAATAATTTCATACTAGACCTTGACACACTGTTATACAAGGTTTAAATTATACCCATTGATTTTTTTAAAGAGATATTTATGTCTGGGTCCTCAAAAATTAAAGTGACCCTCAAATTTACACCCTTGACTGAATCGTCGCAAGCACATAATAATTTCATGCTTGTAACTTGGTTAAACTTTTCTCAAATATTTCATTCAGATCAGTTGATCCGTTTTCGAAATATGTGGTCTGGGACGTTTTTTTTCAATGGTCCTCAGATCCACACCATACTGCGGATCGTCACAAGAAATTTAATCATTTTTTTACAAGACCTTTACAAAGTATAATAGAATGTTTATTTAGACCCATTGTTTTTTTTTAAAGAGATATTTAGGTCCCTTCACTGGATCATAAACACATAAACATTTCTTCCTTGTAACTTGATTAAATTTCCCGAAAGTTTCATTCAGATTACTGACCAGTCTTTCAAATATCCAGTGTTCTGCTTGACCTTAAATCCCTTTAATTGGTTCCCACACGCACACCCACCCTAGATTGACAAAATATTAGGAAGCACATCCTTGATGATCTATGCTTTGGCAAAGCACGGAACAAGTCTAAGCATTGAAAGTGACCAAAGTGACGGCCAGTAAAAAAGTAGTGCAAAAAGATAGAAAAAATATATGCAAGAAAAAAGGGGGAAAAATCAGAACAAAAACAATGTATTTTCACAGTACTGTTGGGAAAAGCCAATAACAACAACAACAACTATAACAACAACAACAACAATAACAATAACAACAAAAATAACAACAACAAAACAGCAACAACAATAATAACACAAATAACAACAAAGACAACAATAACAACAACAATAACAATAACAACAACAAGAACAACAACAATAACAGCAATAATAAAAACAACAATAACAACAACAATAACAACAACAACAATAACAACAACAACAATAATAATACTACTTATTATTATTATTGTTATAATATTATTGTTAATATTATTATTGTTGTTGTTGTTTTGTTATTATTATTAATATTATTATTTTATTATTATTATTTGTGCATCTTAGCTTCCATATTTTCTAAAATGTTTAATAAATATGCACAAATAACAAAATAACAAAATAATTAAAACCCTCCAAAAAAAAAGCAAGTCTGAGATTTGAACCCTATACGTTCGATTATCTTTACAGAAAAAACGTGCATCTTTACACACAAAACGTGCAAAAGTTTAAATTATTATTATTATTATTATTGTAATTGCTATTGTTATTATTATCATCATGATCATCATCAATATTATTATTGTTATTATTATTATTATTATTATTATTATTATGCAGGAGGGTTAGAGCCAAACTAAAAATAGACAAAAAAAATACAACGTTTGAAGAACAGAAAGATAAATCTTGTAGATCTATATAAATTGAAGCAAAGAAAAGAACAATATGAAAATATATTACAGAATAGATTTGACGCCCTAGAAGTGGAGGATCTCGACGTAAATCTATTATGTAACACCATTTCCGAGACTGTGATGTCTACGGCAAGAGAGCTTGCCCCACTTAAAAAAGAGACACATGTTAGTACAAAAGATACTGAATTAAAGATATTAGAGGAAAGAAGAAAAGACCTAAAGAAAGTGGAAAACTAAACAGAACAATAGAAAAAAGAATACTCTAATGTAATCAAGCAAACACGTAAAATTAGACGTGAGAAAAGAAGAAAGAAAAGAACGGAAATGATAGAAAGGTTTTTAGAAAGCGGAAAAAGATTATAAAGGAAATTGAAAGAAGTAAAACATACAAAACAAGAATTTTATCTATGAAAAATTAAAAGGGAGAAATTACAACAAAAAAAAGAGATCATAAATTATGGACATCTGTTCAAATTTCTACTCCAATATATACAAATTTAAGACGAAATACAAGCTTAGATATGAAAAATCATGCGATAATGAAGATGTCCCCCTATTTTAAAACAAGAAGTTTACAAAGCAATGAATCCGATGAAGAATTACTGTATTTCTGAAGGCAATGAGACTTCGGTATATATCGACTCCTACAACAGTACCAATAAAAAATAAACATTGACAGGATAAAACAAATATTGTACTGTTGTAAGAGTTGATATATACCGAAGTCTCATTGCCTTCAGAAATAAAGTTTGGTGATGAGAAAAATAAAATTATATGACCATGAAATAATTCTATATAATAATAGTAGTAACAACAACAACAGCAGCAGCAACAGCAACAATAACAACAACTTACTTACTCTTCAGGGTTCCTCAGTCCACTGTTGAACATACCCCTCCTTCCTGTATTTTTTCAAGTCATCTTTTCACATATATATTATATAATTAATATATTTTATAAAAAATCTCTTACTTATTTTAATTAACTCGTTCATCGAGTAGTATTGACAATTGTTGTTTTATCTCTAAAAGCATATTGTAATTCTCTCTGTTGAAATCACGGTATTTCCAGAAACAGTATATACCCACGATTGTTGTTAAAATGGCTCCACAATATCTTGAATACCACAGCCATTTGTACAAAGTATACTGCAAACAAAAAAGAGGATGAAAGTGTTAACTTAAATTGATCACGATTATAAAATTATTAAACTGTTTTAATTAGTAACTAAACCTGTAGTGACATTAATTGTATTCTATTAACAACATCTTTGGAAGAATAGTTTGCTTGTTTTATTGTATGCTCAATAAACAAAACTGAACATAAAAAGGCATTACAATGGATATCGATAAACTTATCTCTTTCTATTTATATTTTGTGTACAAAAAAATGTGCATTTTTAAAATTTTACTATTTTCATATAATCACTTTTTAAAAAGATTTGTGAAATTTAAAAGTTTAATAAATAATTATTTTGAATTTTAATATTTTTAAAACCATTGTTTTGAACTAATTTTTTAATCACGTTTTTAAATGTATGCGCCTATTTTTTGATATTTTTTTTTCTTTTGTATTTTCTAAATGATGTATTGTTATTTGTAATAAAATTAAACTGAATAGAATTGAATAAATTGAAAAGCTCAGTATTAATCATGAAAATAGAAAAAAAAACACAATATATAACCAATCATGTTTATATGAATATAAACAGTGCTAACAGCATCACGTTTTTAAATGTATGCGCCTATTTTTTTGATATTTTTTCTTTTGTATTTTCTAAATAATGTATTGTCATTTGTAATAAAATTAAACTGAATAGAATTGAATAAATTGAAAAGCTCAGTATTAATCATGAAAATAAAAAAAAACACAATATATAACCAATCATGTTTATATGAATATAAACAGTGCTAGCAGCATACTATGATTTAAATTTGTTCAGTGATTATAATTTTGACTGCGACTAACCAGAATTCTCTTTTGCCATTAAATTTGTTGTGGTCTGGAGTTTGCAGGTTTGAATTCACACAAATTTTAAGAAACTTTTTCGTTAAAGGACTTTGTCCTGTCTCTTATACACATCTAGATGTGTATAAGAGACAGGTATTACATCCTGATAGGGATAGTCGTTATCTAGCCGGAGGAAACACCCTAGGATACGCCATAATCCCTCCCAGTTATTTCCTTTCCCAGGAGACATTGATATATGGGATACTCATTGTTACGACTTCTGAGGTGTCTTTTAATGACCTTTTAATTTCTTCAAAATTCAAGGTTTCCCTCTTTTAGAAAAAGGTCAGGTAAATTTATCTCATTCTTAGGAATATACATAAAGAAAGAAAAAAAAGGAGATAGGCAATATATTATTATATTCCAACAATATTGAGGAGTTGGATACGTAGTCCTTCAACCATGGATCGATAGGCCAGAAGAACGCACTTTCCTACATAAATTATTACGACTCCTCGAATCAAAAACAGTGTTTGTTGAATATATTTATTTGAAGGCTAGTTTGTCTGATCTGCCAACCTCCAAGGAAGGGCCGGCGGAACGTTTTTCAAAGGGGGGGGGGGGGGCACTTATAGGGGGCACTCATAAGATGAATGGGAATATGAATCATGTAGATCTGGAAAAACCTAGGGGATGGAGGTCAACATTTTTCCCAAAAAGGAAAGAGGGATCCGCCCCCGGGAAAATTTTGATTTCTAGAAGGCGGGAAATGACCTTTCTCGACTTTTGAGTTAGGTTTCTAATGACTTTGTTCTTCAAAATTCAAGGTTTTCCCCTCTTGAAAACGGTCAGGTAAACTTTCTCATTCTTATTACAGTAAATAGGCCTGTTATGTATACATACATTAAAAATAAAAATTAGTTGTTGCATACGTATTCTTTTTTCAATGAATCGATAAGCTCCAAAGAAAAAGGAGCGGGGGTTCCGGGGTTCTCTCCCGGAAAAATTTTGAATCCTAGATGGCGGGAAATGAGTTTTTCTGACTTCTGAGGTGTCTTAATTACTATTCTTCAAATTTCAAGGTTTTCCCCTCTTGAAAACCGTCAGGTAATTTTTTCCATTGTTATTACAGGAAATAGGCCTTATGTGTGTATACATAGGCCTACATAAAAATAAAAAAATAGAAGTTGCATACGTATTTTTTTTAATGAATCGATAAGCTTCAAAGAAAAGGGGGGTCCGGGAGTCCTCCCCCGGGAAAGTTTTGATAGCTAGAAGGCGGGAAATGAGCTTTCCCGACTTCTGAGGTGTCTTTTAATTACTTTTAAGTTCTTCAAAATTCAAGGTTTTCCCCTCTTGAAAACAGTCAGGTAAATTTATCCCTGTTATTACAGTAGATAGGCTTTATGTGTGTATACATACATAAAAAAATTGAGTAGTTGCATACGATTTTTTCCATGAATCCATAAATCCCAAAAAGAATGTGGGGTGGGGGATTCACCCCCGGAAAAATGTTGATTTCTTAGGAGGCGGGAAATGAGTTTTCCCAACTTCTGAGGTGTCTTAATTACTTTTAAGTTCTTTAAAATTCAAGGTTTTCCCCTCTTGAAAACGGTCAGGTAAATTTATCACATTGTTATTACAGTAGATAGACCTTATGTGTGTATACATACATTTAAAAAATTGAGTATTTGCATACTTTTTTTTCATGAACCCAGTACTCCCCCCAAAAAAAGGGGGGTTCGGGGGTTCTCCACAGACATTCTCCAGACATTATTTTTTGCAAAAAAAGTGGGGGGGGGCCGGCCCCCCGGTTCCGCCGGCCATGGAAGGTAGGTTAGCATACCCTTTGTAAGCCAGGACCCATCAGTATTTTGTTAGGTTTCTTCACTGAGGGGGCGGGGGTTCGTCCGAACCCCTTACAACCCCTGGATCAGCCACTGCACCGCTTACCCTCTAGTATATAAAACGTCGTAACTAGTTTTCATATAAGAGGACAATTAATATTCATGACCACTAAAAGAAGATCGGCCTACTTACAGACAAAATTCACAAAAAATACTACCGAAATTTATCATTAGGCCCATACATACATAGGTCTGACGTCCGGGAAAATGACTCAATAGTTTGTTAGTAAACTAAGAGAGTATTGAGTTTTCTTGTGGAAATATAAGCAAAGGTCATAACAATTGTTTACTGACAAACTATTGTGAAAACCAAGAAGAGTGACCCATGAATCTTTATTCCTGTCGGGCTTGTTTTGACATTCAACAACTAGTGGAATTAGAATTTTCATTTATCTATCTCAAATTACACCGTTGTACATTGCAAAATTCTAACGCCCGTATTCTTAAAACAAACTTCAATTTGTATTCACAAACAACTTAGCCGAAGTTTTAACTACGACTAAATCAAGTCCTAGTTTTAGTTCAACTGAAGACGACTGGCAAGCCACGACTATCAAACTAACTAAGGGCTAACTTTAATAGCAGACGAAATTTTAGAGATCCGGTAACGCGGATGAATATTAAGCTGCCATCTGTGGTTCAAAAACGTATTTCGTCATAATTCATAATAGACCCTCATTCGCTTACTTAATTTTCTTTAATAGTAACTATATTAGTTGTTAACATATTACGATAGAGAATTTGAAAAATCACTGAAAATTTGCTTTCTTTGGAGAACTATTATAGTTGAGCACGAGCGAGGGCGGCGCCATCTTTGTTGTTGTTATGGTTAAGCTAGGTGATCGCAACGTGAGGGTATTTCGTGCAAATCAGGAACTATTCCATGTGGCTAGCAAAACATGTTAATTTCTCCTTTTTGGAAGCTAAACTTGATATCTCTTTTGTTTAACACACCGAGGATATATCAAACCTGCGTATATAATATTGTTTCACTTATCGTTAGTCACAAAAATACGTTCTTAGTGGGGTAAATATTTCAAGTCGGCGATTTAGCCTGACCCTAGCCTGACTAATTTTGCTTGAACAATTTCATGTAACTTTTGGTATCTTCGCATGACATATTTCCATTGCAGGATTTATATGTGTTGAGAAGTTAAGCATAATCTCAGAAGAAAAGCCGGCAGCTGACTCTCCGGAGTTTTAGAAGTTATTTTTATTTTTTATTTTTATTTTTATAATTTTTAGCTTTTTAAGCTGCTGGCACCTAGCTATTGTAGTCTTGCTTGATTTCGTATTGCCTTTTTTTTTATCTTAAAATAAACAAATGAATGAAATGAATGTTTGGAACATTTGAATTTGTTTTTTTTTTTTCACATTTTCTGTCAAATTAACGGTCGAATTTATGTATCTTTTATTTGATTAGTAAATAATTGTTAGGATGATTTATATGAAAGAATGGTGGTGGTGGTGGTGGTGCTGTTCTTTATATTTGAAAACGGAAAACTCAAAACAGAACCATTTATATTTTACGCAAAGTCGAAAAAAAAGCCAAAGCAATGCTCTAATCAAAGTTTTATAGCCTATTTTTCCATCCCTCATGTTTTGTCAACCTCTTGGACATGAGATGTATATATATATATAATAAATATACATATATATTTATATTTATATGTATAATGAATAAATGTAGTTGGCAGTACTAGCAACATACAGTTCTTGATACACATGATAATGCAGAGCGTATATATTGAAAATGTAGAACATGTAGAACTGGGTTTAATCACTCTACAGACTGTTCCATGCTAATGCAGTCTTCAGGAGTGAGAGAATACAAGGATTGTGTGAGTATATGAATGGTAAGGCAGGTGGAAATGCAAATGGGTAAATTATTTTTAAGTAGGTATTTGTTGTGCCTGCATTTAGACAATAGCTCGGTTTTTTTGTTTAGTATTGACTGTTTTTCTGAATATATTATGTGAAGTTTCTCGGTTATGCAAAGGTTGCAGCGTTTTGTTTTCGGGAAGTAAGCCGATGCTCTGTCGATAATAGACCATTTGATATTGTAGGGTGTGTTGCTGTCTTTTAATTTCCATACGTATTTGGAGAGTACGGTGCTGTTTCTGTGTTTTGGGGTGTTAAAAGTGTATTTGTGGTTTGTGTATCGGGTTTTGAACGGTTTGTCTGTGAGCCTGATGTAGCATTTTGTGTCATCATTTGAGTGGACAGATCAGGCAAACTAGGCTTTCGAACGTTGACAGACTAAACACGTCTTAGCCAACTGACGAATGTCT